TATATATATATATATATATATATATATATACTGAAATCGTTTATTACATGATGAATATATTTATATAATTATCAAATTAAATTAAAATAGAAAAACAAATTTTCTATTGCTCTTGAGACACTGTGAAAAACTTTGTTGTCTTACTTTTAATGCACATATCTAATCTTCTACATAAATTTAAAATTTGTATAAATTTTAAATATACATACAACTCTTCTAAAATAACCTCATAAATCGACTATTCAATATATTTTGCATAATTGTCCCACTGTGCGCACAGATAAATTATATATTATGGCCTATTGCTATAAAATTGATTGTCATAAGTGCACATTACATCTTCCCATGAAGTGGGGGACGGCGTGGTAGTTGATTTATTTGCTAGTACAGGTAGCCTTGCGATTGCCAAATAAGAATTGCATTTAATTTCGATTATATAGAGATATTGATTTAATTTACTGCATTCCAACAAGGACGAATCTTCACATATCCATATCCAAAGGGCAAAGCGAAAGGGAACTACCTCTAATGGAAGAACCCGCCCTCAACTTGGGAGTTTTAGGGTGGTTTCTAGTTGATATTTTCTTTTCCTGTTGTTATTCAAGTTCAAGGTCATGCAAAACCGTTACCCTTATTTTCCTTTCTGTTTGTGCCTTTTTTAATGACAACATTAACTGTGACTCTCAAACTGTATCCACTGAAGCGTCGCAATTCTCCATGCAAATCAATAAGATGGAATCGGAAATGCTTTCATCTATGCCTCGCTGAGCCTCAACTGTCTATAAGTAATTAACAAGCACGTGCAAACATAAAGTGCAGCAACAACAACAACATACGAAGGTCTCGAACCAATTAAGTGGAAACTTTTACCACCTTCCAGCTCACATTGAAGTTCCAAGTGAATTGGAACCTTAAAGCGGGGCTTGTCGTTTCCTGTTAAATGAATCAATTTTGCAAATTGAAAAACCGCTTCGATTGAGAGTGTCAACTGTACCCATTAATACTGGAAATATGGCAAATATTAAGTTTTTAAACGCATTCGCCACACAAGACCTCGTATGGGAAAACTATAGAATTTCTTTGATTCATCAAACGTCCTGCTGCGCGAGTCTCAAAATACTAACTAAAATAAATATAAGCTGAATGGTATTCCAAATGAAGCTTTACTATACGATTCTCATCACTGTATTTTAAATATATGTAAAAATACATACATATACAAAAAATTCCATATATATTTTCTGTCTACCCTCGCATATACAATAAAATTTAATATATACAGAGTACACATACACATACGCATATACGTATATGTAAACATGTATAGCAAAAGGCAAGTGTTGTATATTTCTTTTATACAAGGGCAGTCTATAAAGTTTCCCAAATAGTGGTATAATATATAAAATAAAGCTGTACATATGTACTTATGAAATATATGTACATATACATGAAATGTACATACGTAAATACATATGTAGCTGTGCTAGTCTGCATAAATTAATAATATATATGTATTTTATATCTTTTAATTTTGTATGTACATATGTATGCATGGACTGCTTAAATGGCATGATTGGACTGCATGTATGTATGTATGTACATATGCCAATCAGCTGTGTACACCATTTGAAAATAAATTTACAAAAAAAAACCTTCTATTGAAATGCTGTCCCCTACTTAATTCTCATGAATTAAAACAAGACTTGTGGGTTTTTATCAATCAAAAAGTAATTGTATTTGGTAACCAACCAAAAGTCTCCTTCCTTTCTTTACCTTCCACTTGGCTTCTTCTGTTATTATACATACAAGCACACACACATACGTATGTCTGCATATATATCTATGTCAACTGATATATGTAAATATGTTTTCTTTTTATTTTGCTTTATTTTGTTGTACTGTTTTGAGTACAGCAAATTCACGAGTTTATCGCCTGATATGAAAACGCGTGCGAAACAAGAGAAGGCATGAACAATAGAATTTTTGGCAGAGCGTAAAGAACAAAAGAGAGGCAATGAGGCGACGCTTTTAAGTTCTTATTGGAAATTTATATGCAAGCGAGTAGATATCTAAACACACACACACACACACACGCACACTGAGGCAGCAGCGTGGCAACAGCTAGCGCGTAGGTGGAGCAGAATAGAAGAAGCGAACTTAATTAAACTAAAACCTATGCAAAATAAGCTCAGCTTTGTCGATGAAAGCCAGGCATATCCAGATAGATCCAAGCAATATCCGTTAGGTGCAAAGTGCTCAAATGGCGGGCGGGAAGGAGACAGCGGAAGTGACCGGGAGACAGGAAAAGAGCATATCAAACGATAACTGTACTTTGTCAACAGTTTGAGCTGCAACAGAGAACAAATTGAGTTATAGCCTGTCCAGCTGCCCAGGCTATAGTCTGCGACCTTGTTGGGGTTGTTGCTGCCGCTTCTGCGGCTGCTATTGCTGCTACGGCTGCTGTCAATCACTTTGTTTACCCATGATATTATAAGTACATATGTAAGTACATATGTATATATACATACATATGCGCAGAACGCATGTATTCCTGTTTGACGTAAGCTTAAGAAAACTATATGAAATATTTCCTCTGTTAAATATGCATATGTATATACATATTTTGCCCATGTGTGTGCGTGTATAGCAGCTAATAGACCAATACAGTTTTAGAGTAACTGAGTCACTGAGTTTATCAGCCGGAAGTTTGTTGCTGGATTTTAGATATTTATATTTTTTGAGTTAATTATCTCTTCAAATTATTCATAGCCTTTAACAGCACTGAAGAAACGTCTTCAGCAATTCCAATAAGATGCGAATAAGACAGCTAATATTTCTGCTCGCGTGAATCATATAAGCTACTGCCTATGTGGTGGAGGTGGGTTGAAGGATAAAAGCTCTACAAAGGGATGACCAATTATTTCGCAGGCAAACGAAATACGTCGAATTGGAAACTAGAAAGTACGAGAAAAGGATAGCACGATATCGTTGTATTTTGTTGTGCTTGCCGCGCCAGAAGCAGCAGTAGTAGTAACAGTTGTAGCAGCTGCGGGAACATCAACAGCAACAACAACAAACTTAAAAACAGCTGCACATGGCAACAGCGCATGTCGAACTGTAATACTTTCGAACACGCCGTCCGCAAGGACAATAACTGTACCCTAAAGATAACAAGACATGGATTTGCAAAAAGTACACTTCATTTGCTTGAATGCAAGATCAGAGCCAACTATTAAGCGAAACATTTTGTCGCTTTCATGCCTTTAAATTTCCAATTCATTTATTGATTTTTCCGATAAAATGTTTAACGCGATTTGATGAGAAAGAAAAGAAGGTAATTGCTAATCTGCATGATATATATAGGTGTATATACACCTACACACACACACTCGCACACGCCATGCACAGAAATTTACGCACATACAGAGATAGCCCACGCTGGCTGATAAAACGAAGAGCAGAAAAATAGAGACACGCGGCGCCAGCAGGACTACGCAAGGATACACAGGAGACCATATACATACACCCACTTTTATATGTACACAAACTTATTGAACACGGCTGTTCGCTGCTCTGCAGCTATTTCATTCTATTGGCAAACTATTCTATACGCTTGCCGCCTACGTATGATTAGCATGTTGTTAACAAATGGTTTATAATTTGCGTTTTACTCACTTAAATAGCAACACTTTTTTCAAATCACAATTTATTTGACGAGAAATTGAAGCGTGATGAACGCGCGCGCACAACTGCGAGCACCGGCTTGCGGAAAAATGGCGATAGTTCTCTTATATCGATATCTTGACATCATCGATGGAAAAAGTTACCCAACTTAACAGCCGATAGCCATAAGTTTAACAGAAAACTTATTAAAATTAATAAAGCCGCTTTTTAACAAAACTTTTCAAAGCATGTTCTATCAAAGCTTTTGCATGCAAGCGCTCACTGATTTTCAACCCCTTGCAACAGCTATTAACAGTGGCCAACTACTGCACTGCTATTGCCGCTGTTATGTTAAGTAACATTTCGGTCTCACTTTGTTTTTCTTCAAGCACAACAAAAACAAATCGTGACATTACAAAAAACTTTGGAAATTCCAAAACAACAAATTAAATATTTGGTTGCCAACAAAGTCGCAATGTTCCACTTTAGTGGCTTCAACATGATGTTCCCAGATGGCGGACGCAGCTTTCAAGTTACCTACAAATGCTTTTCAGTTTCTATGCTACCAGGCAACGAGCGCTCCGACGTGGAGAAGGGCGGAAAAAGTATATAAAACTAAATATATATATTTGTATGTAATAAATGCTATACAGGCAACGTCATTGCTTGCAGTTATCATGCCGCCATCTGCACTGGATTCACTTACTCGCCTAAATGTGGAATATCCCATGCTCTTCAAGCTGACCAACAAGAAGAAATCGCGTTCCTCTCACGCTGGCGTTTTGGAATTCGTTGCCGACGAGGGAAAATGCTATTTGCCCTACTGGATGATGGATAATCTGCTGCTGGAGGAGGGAGATATACTGAACATCGAGAGCGTCTCCCTGCAAGTGGCCACGTTCTCCAAATTTCAACCACACAGCACTGACTTCTTGGACATTACCAATCCAAAGGCTGTGCTGGAGAATGCCTTGCGCAACTTTGCCTGCTTGACCAAGGGCGATGTCATCGCCATCAAGTACAACAAGAAGGTGTACGAGCTGTGCGTGCTGGAGACCCGGCCTGGCGACGCCGTAAGCATCATTGAGTGTGACATGAATGTGGAATTCGAAGCTCCGGTGGGCTATAAGGAGCACAGCGAGCAACAGCCGGCGACGCAGTCAGGTGGTCAAGCAGCAGGCGCGAATGACGCAAGTGCAGGCGGCGCCGTCCACGAGGAGCTGGTCGAGACCTTCAAAGGCTCCGGCGTGCGTCTGGATGGCAAGAAGAAAAAGGACAGCCAGCTGGAGACGCCGGTCCTTAAAAAGGTCTTGCCGCGCGGCGTTCCTGATTACGATTTCCAGTTCGGTTTGCTGCGCTTCGATCGCTCCATCAAACCCATCAGCGATCGCGGCCAGGAGGATGCCGAAGCAACCGGCGAAGCGGCTGGCGCCGATGCGGACAGCTTCCACGGCACTGGCTTCTCAATGAAAAAGACGCGCAAATAGTATGTAATCGCCTCTCACAATTCTTTATTCGTATGTTGCACATGGCTCACATAACAGTAAATAGCAAAAGTAAGAAATGAAATTCCCACAAAAACAAATGTCCAAAGTATCCAAATAATTCTACAAATTGAGGGTCAACTTGAGTTCCGGCTCCTTGGGCAAGGGTGGCGGCGCTATCGTCGTCATTGGAGGCAGTCGCCGTATCTTTCTACCATGTTTGCCCTCTTTTCGCTTCCACAGACCAGACCGGGGCCGATTGCCCAACTCTCGCATGCGCTGCGCGCTACCCACATGCTCCTTGTTGTGCTCCACATTCGATAGGCGTCCCACGGTGGCCATGCAGGTGCGATCGAAGGCAAACTCTCGTTTGGAGGGCAACTGCACCACCACCTTGTCATCGAACTTGCGTAGAATGGTGCCAAAAGTGCCGGCGGCATGGATTAAGTGGCAGGGCTGGCCGGGATTTTTTTCCAAGCAATGAATGCGTGTGCCCACGGGCAAGGCGCCCAACGGATAGGCATCTCCATCATTCGGTCGAACTACAACGCCAAGATTGTGATGAAGTTGATGTTGGAACCGTAGAGCTCATCGACTCACCTGGTATACGTGGAATCACACGCGACGTCTTCAGTATATCGCCCTCTCTCATATTCTCTGTGGCCAATATATACTTCAACTCATCGCCGACAGCAACTAGTGCCACCTTTGCTGTGCGGCACCCATCGTGCAGCAGCTCCACAACGATCTCCTCCTGAGGGGGTCCCTCGCTGGGGCCATCGCGCACCCATTTGATCCAACGATATTGCTGTTTAATGCCGCCGCCAATGCCCTTGGCGACCATGCGACCGCTGACGGGATCACGGCCAGCCAAATGGGTTATCTTTAGAGGTGCCACCGTATATTCATCCGGAAAGTGAACTATACGTCGGAATTGCTGCCCGGCGCCTGGTTTGGGTTTCTCGACAACTTTCGTCTTGGTACGCAACTGTTGGAGCACAGCTAATGCACCGCGCTGCTGCGGCTGCAATGTTAATGTACATGTGCTAAGCAGGCGTGTGAGACTTTGCATTTTCACAGAAAATTCCTTTTAATTGTATCTCATGCAAATTGGTTACAAAACGGAACCATTAACAGACTTTCAGCACACTGTTAGCAACAGCTGGAGACAAAGTGTGGCCAGGCATCGTCAATTAGTAAAATATTTGGTTGGACAAAATTTCTTAATCAGGGCTGCAGTGAATGTCTCTGCTTCTTCTTTATCGTCACGTCGTGTGGGCAGCTGCTGCGGTGCGCGCTGCTAGCAAATAAGAATTGAAAAAACCGCATTAAAATTGTGAAAAGTGCACAAATTAAACTAAAAGTAATCATATATATAAGGTGTAAGCTGAATTTGTTAAAAAATTTGCATAAAATACACAGCGAAAACGGCAGTAAAAAGGTACGAAAAAATAATAATAAACAAGGCGAACGAGCCGATAGAAAGAAAAATAAGATACACACACAAACATGCTGTTGATACACACTCGCGCACACAATATCACACACGCTCAGTGGCGAACGAACTGCACGAAAAACGTGTTGTGTGCTAAATTTTCTGTGCAAAAAATAGAAAACGCAAAAACAAAAAAGTAGCTAAAGCGAAATAATAATAAAAAGCGAAAAACAAAAACAGTTGAGTTTGATAATCAATCGTCAGGCGAATGTAACAAAAACAAACAATAGTATGTATTAATTAATATGGATAGAACAGTACAAGTAGAATAAGGAGAATATAAATAAAATGTATTTGTTATTTTGGAACATGTTAGGTGATGTACATACATCTCGAATGTGGAAGTGTGTGAGTATGTGTGCGTAAATGCGTATGTGCGTGTGCGTGTGTGTACCCTTAACTGTGTGTACATATTTTGGTGTTAGGTGGAAAAAAAAGCGGGCGGCAAGTTTACGCAATCGCCGTCCAACGAACGAAGCAACAAACAAATTTATATACATATATGTATATATGATGTACATACGGCGTTCGTTGTGAAAAGTGTGCTTTCTGTATGTTTACGCTTTTCGTCTGTCCTTTTGTCCGCAGTCGCCGCAATAAGTGAGACAAACAAGACAAGCATACATATTTACATTTTTCACATGCATACATACAGAGATATGTACGTATGTATGCATATATGTACGTATACTCAAGCAGGTGGAGTCGCGCCGACGTCGTTTGTTTTTTATTTTCTTTTTGTTCTTTGTTTTTCGGTTCCGTTGCTAGCTGAAAAATCAACGAGCGGCATTTTTACGCATTTTCAATATGCCTATATAGATGAGTATGTGTGAGGGCTTGTTTATGTATGTATGTATATGCGCGCGCTCTTGCTCGGTGCATGTGTGTGTGTGTGTGTGTGTGTGTCTGTATTTTGGTGTTTTTATTTATTTATTGTGTTTCTGTTTTGCTGATGCGAGGCAGCATCGGCGTAGCAGTGACCTAACGACGTATGTATGTATGTATATTTAACTGTTTATGTGTGCGCGCGTGTGTGTATAGGTGTTTGCTTTGTTGTATTTATTTTATAGCATTTTACGTTGTTTTCGTTAATTTTATTTTGGTTTCATTTTGCATGTTAGCGCATGCAAGCTCGCTCGATCGATTGAATGGGAGCCATGTGGGGGCTAAGCTGCTTGACAAATTTACGTATGTATGTATGTAAGTATCTATATTACATTTACATACGTATGTGCACATGTATATTATTATTAAGTAAATACATTCATTCATATATGACAAGTATACCTACGTATATACATATGTACATATATACATATGTACGGACACATATTAATATGATGATTGTCTATAAAAGACAAAAACAAAGTAAACACGCTACCGCCAGTGTTGCCAATTGAGGCCCATAAGCTTCTTACCAAAAGTGTAACTGTCAAATGTAGAGTTGCCAATTCATTATTGATGAATATTGATGCTTAAGACTTTCGAGCCTTTCCGATCAGTGTAATTGTTGTTATGAATAGAAGAGTATTTCTGCAATAGGATTTATTTTAAAGCTTCTGTAATTATATACATATGTACACAAATCCGTACGATTCGATTGCTTATAAGAAACGATGCATGTTTATTTTAGATATGTATTTGTATTTGTGGGCAGTTGTGCGTGTAATCTGTCTGTGTATGCATGAATATGAGCACGTTTTCATTACTTTTGCACATTTTGCAACACTGGCATAGCAGAAAACGCAAACAACGAGACTGACAAATTGTCAGGCGTAAACAGAAAGATGTTATACTGATCGCATTGCGCGCGCGCTGCCCAATAGAAAATAATGAATATTATCTTAATACCAAATAGCTTGCCGAACTTAATTTTGTATATATATACATAAGAACATACATACATATGTAGTTCTGCAGCCGGCTGCTGCTCCAATCGAGAGCTATTTGGGGACTTTCGGGCTCTCTTTCTCTGTGCCACTCACCACTCTCCGACTGCTGCCCGGGCAAGCCGATACCGCATAAAGAGTGAGCGCACGCGCGTGCAGTACGTCTCCCAACGCATTGTGTTTTGCTATGAACTGTATGTACTCAATTGGTGTGCTCGTATGCATGTGTATGTGCTTGCGTGTGCAAGTGTTCGTTTACTCACGTAGTGCCGCAACGTAGTAGTAGTAGTGTTATTATTGTTTTTATTGTTGTGCCGAGCTGTTTTTGTTTTTGCTTGTTGCCGAGTGCGAGTCGGTTTAATATGTGTATATGTATATATACATGTATGTATAAGGAGTGTATGGTTGTATGCATGCATGTGAACGGCTATGGTAGCAAAACATAACCAAAGCAAAAAGGAAAAATAAGTAATTGTTTTTTTTTATTGCGCTCTCTGCGAAGTAGGAGACTGAGCCAAACAGCCTAAAGAGTGCGTTATATCTGTGTGTATATATATATGTATATTTGGGAAATATAGTTGCGTTTCTTTTTTTATTTGCTATTGATGGCGAAAAACCTTGAGCATACAGAAATCCACGAAACACGCGTGAAAAGCTGCTGATGTATGTATGTAAATACATATTCTACAGTCGGTGTGCAACACGCGCTTTGTCAGTTTTATTTACAACACTTTAAAGCGCGCCGCATACAGAAAAAAGCGAGAGCAGAAGAAAACGAAAGACAAAAAGAAAAGAAAATAAACAAAAACAATGCGCTGTTAGAGAGAGAAGGAGCGAGGGAGCAATATTTTCTTGTTTATCTGCACTAATTACTTAAACGGAAGAACAGTAATAGTAATAAATGAAATTTTCAGTTAAACTACAACAACAACAGGAAAAGCAGCAACAGTAGTCAGTGTGCAAGTGGATAACCTTTCAATGGCCGCCACTACAACAACAACAACATTATTAGCAACCACTATCAATATAAGCAACAATAACAACAGCAACGGCGGCAGCAGCAATAATACCAATAACCATACAAATCCCAACAACATCCACAGCAGCAGCAACAACAACAACAATCATATTGTAACGGTACACACCGTACTAAACACACCCACCTCCGCAGCAGCAGCAGTAGCGAGCTCTGCAGACGCGGCAACTGTTGCCGCAGCTAAGGACATGCTGCAGCTTCATCATGGCGCCGCTGCAGCGTTAAATAACAATAACAATACCAATACCAATAATAACACCAGCGCCGAATTGGCTAACAATAATCAAAATAGTAACAATAATAACAACAACAACTCAGCAAACCACCCACCTGCCCATGAAGTCGTCTCCTCAAGCTCCTCTCCACCGGAGAATGCGTATGGTGTGCTGCGCTTCAACGAGGATCTACTCCATATAACGGACGAAGTGACTGTTATTGGACGCAACTCGTCAACATCGCTCGTGCACTTCAACGTAGCAGAGAACAATTTGGTCTCTCGCAAACATTTCCAGGTGCTCTACGATCCGGAGCGCCGCGCCTTTTTTGTGCAGTGCCTCAGCAAGAATGGCATATTCGTTGATGACTTTCTACAGCGACGTAATGTGGATCCACTGCGACTGCCCCAGCGGTAAGTGCTTTAACTAAAAGACCAATTATTTGCATCAATTCATTTATTTTACTTTGCTTTGCAGTTGCTTCTTTCGATTTCCGAGCACCGAGATACGCATCGAGTTTGAGAGTTTCGTCTCGCCACCGGTGGACGTTGTCTCGGATGCGGCACCCGTGCTCAGCAGTCCGTCAGTATCTGGCACAGCTGCTGCTCATGTTATTATAACGCCGCCTCCACGCGATGAGCTGCATTCGCTGCAGGCGTCGCATCATCACAGCCAACAGCAACAACCAGCGCATCACTTGCAGCAATCGCAGCAGCAGCAACCACAACAACAGTTGCCGCCACACCACCCACTCCCGAACACACCACACCACCCGCTTCACCACACATCCCTGCAGCAGCAGCAGCAGCAACGCCTACCCGGAGCACCGCCCGCAGCATCTCAGCTGTTAACCACCGGAGGCGATGGAGCTGCCATCTATGCACCGCTCAAAATTTCAATACCCAAAAAGGAGCAAAAGAGTCCCTATCTATCACCAACTGGTAAGAGCCGTTCACTAAAAATTCCATCAAATTAGATTTAATTCCAATTAGAAACTTTAGCGTGGGCTAATTTTAGTAAGCGGTTTCATCAGCTGTGCAAGTAATAAATGTTATACTTCTCTTTCGATCAAAATTTGTTACTCAGAAATTCAAGCCCAAATTCTTCTTGTGATAACTATAGGGGAATGCTGTAAATACATCAAAGATCTCAGATGATCCAATACATTATATGGAAAAATCAAATCAAACCTTATAGTATTTTGTATAGTTTGACGTAATTTTAAAAAGTCAATTGAAATTGCAAATTAACAAAGCAAAAATCTTAATTTGTGTAAACGTGATAGTATATTTATTCTCATATTACAGTATATTTATATATGTATATTTATATATGCCTTTCGATCGTGCAGGTACAATAAGCGCTGCCAACAGTTGTCCTGCTAGTCCTCGCCAGGGTTTTCACCAGAATCAGACCAATAACTACAACAATTATAGCAACAACAATACGGTAAATATTAAACAACTTTAATTCAATTGGCATATACACTAAATAGTTAAATTGACATTTGCAGCAGGATCTATTCCAGACACCGTCGACAGCCAGCTACAATCATAATGAGAAGCCGCCGTATAGCTATGCTCAGCTGATTGTCCAAGCTATTTCTGCTGCGCCGGACAAGCAGTTGACACTCTCTGGCATTTATTCGTTCATTGTCAAGCATTATCCCTACTATCGCAAGGAGACCAACAAGGGTTGGCAGAATTCCATACGTCATAATCTCAGTTTAAATAGGTTTGCCAACGATTAAGATGAAAGTATGAAATTTGAGATTTAATCAAAGTTCTTCGATTGTAGGTATTTCATCAAGGTAGCGCGCTCGCAGGATGAGCCAGGAAAAGGCTCCTTCTGGCGCATTGATCCGGATAGCGGCGCCAAGCTGATCGATCACAGTTACAAGAAACGTCGTCAGCGCAGCAGTCAGGGCTTCCGTCCGCCCTATGGTATGCCACGGTCGGCGCCCGTCTCGCCCAGTCACATGGGTAAGCTCGCTTATATATGACTGAAATTGGCGTACATTAATAAATTGGATCGCTTTATAGATAACTCACGCGAGAGCTCGCCATTGCAGGACATTGTGCTGCAATCAGCTCCTGGCTCACCGGGCATGTCCCTCGAACAGCGCACCGCCGATGCAGGTAAACAGAATTCTAACCGGGACACGGCAAATTATAAAAGTTAGAGCGTAGTCATGTTATTTAAAAAATTAATGCTTCAAGCAAACAGTTGGTGATTTAGGTGCTGTCTGTTGTGTTGCTCTTTTATAGACTGCATAACTCAGATTTAGTTGCAATTGTTATTATACATAAGTATAATGCATTATTATAATTGCAGACAACTGTTAACCATTCGATTTGTAATCAATGCTGATTTACTATAGTGGTATATTAACGACAAATATTTCTCTGCGAGATAATAATATGCCTCTACATAAATAATACCTGTTATTTAGCTGAGAGTAAGCGTTGTTAGTATAGTTGTTCCAAAAACCAATAAGCATAAACTGGTCTATATATTCTGTTAGGCAACACAAGTTTAATAACTTTCGTGTCATAAACCCTCCTAGACAGATGACTAAAATTATCTATATCATAATTTACAGAAATAATCTACAACTCTCAAACTGCGCACCAGCAACAACAACAGCAGCAGCAACAACAACAACAACAGCAGCAGCCGCAACAAACATTGGCGAATAATTCCAATCAATTCAAGTGGGTTTTTGCTTGCAGTTTATGTTAATATGAGTTCTATATTTCTAATGCTACTGATTATTTATATTTATATTGCAGCAGCGGCAGTCCGTACTATGTAACCAATCAAAATGCCGGCGTCACTGTGCAGCAAGCGCATGTGGATGGCGGAAGCGGTGGTGGTGCTGGTGTCGGTGGTGTGGGCGCTTTAATTGCGCTCAAGCGGAATCACGTAATGACCGTGTCGCATCCGGCGCAGCCAACGCAACTGCATCAGCAGCAGCAACAACAGCATCCTGAGATTATTTACGAAGAGCTGCCAACCGATTATAGCGGTCACATTGAAGCGGGCGAGGAGGAGTGTGTCTCTGCCGATGCCACGGCGGCCAAGCGTCCCAAATACGTCTCCGAGGTACTCTGATGCGTACGCATGCAGAATCAGAAACAAAACAAAGGCAAATAGTAGTTCACAGAAGAAACCAGCGCAGCTGCTTAAGTTGCAAATGTAAATGCAAATGCGAATGCAACTGCAACTGGCAAGCAGATGATGAAACTCAGAATCGTGAGGAAGCAAGCAAAATGCAAAAAAGCCCACTTAAAAAAAAATTAAAAACATATATAAATATAAACAAAAAAAAAGAAAAGAAAAGGAAAAAGAAAAAGAAAAGAAATAGTATCTCCATCTTGTATATTGAATTTGCCAAACCCAAACAGCAAAATGAAACCCAGGCGGAAGCAAAGAGAAACAACAAAGCAAAATTGATACGGAAATGTTTATAAATAAAACTGTGAGATTGTGTTTTAAGGTGTTGACCGTACAACGGTTATACGGCGTGCAAAACACTATTCAAAAGAAAAGCCCAATATTTACGATTTAACCCTTAGTTCTGACGAATTCAATATGCTCGATGACGCTACTCTCTAAGTACATATAATAAAATTAAGATTTAAATCGAAGTAATGCAAATAATACAACAAAAAAAAAAGAAGAAAAAAAGTAAATACGTATATATAATTATATATATATATATATAAATAATTATATACGATTGATTATTGTAATGATGTTTAAGATGTTATAGCTATGTGACCGAATTGAGAGAAAGAAAATAGGGGTTAAACCTAGCAACCAACCACACAAGTAACAAACAAGCAAACAAACAGGCGAATGAATATTATTACCTATCTACATACCTTTACCTATATCGATTAAAAGATATATATATCTATATATATAAAGTATATACAAAATATAAAAACTAAACGAAATGATAAATATCTACAAATTTACGGATACAAATACAAATACATAATAATACATAAACCATCTAAGTATAAAAACAAATCTAAAAACAATTGCACTTTATTTCTTAATATTGAAGAAAATCCCATTTAAGTGTTTGGACAAATTGTGTATTAAAAAAAAGAAAAAAGAAAATGTCAAAATTTATTTGTTTTATTTCCTAAGAATGTAATGTGCTTTTGTGCTATTTCGTGCTCTAAAGCTTTTCAGCTTATCGCCTAAGCTATGATTTACAGCGTCAAGATAATGCCTTGATAAGCTAGCGATAAACGATCCTTAGATTAGGTTAATGCTTTATTCAGTGTTTTGAATTTATTTAGATATTCACATTCCTCGATATTGTTTCAATAGAACATTTAAGCGACTTATGCTATGGCTTTGAATTTTATACAACATTTAATACTCTGCATCTAGAGTGAGGCAATTCAATTTGCCAGAACCATTACACAACTTGTGTCCAGACATTTTAGTAAACTTGATATGTATGTCCAATCAGATCTTGAAAATATTTCTCTGTATTTAATCGAAATTGTTTTTTCTTCGATTTACATTCCGTTTCTACATTATTTGGTTCCAATTGTTTCGTCGTACTTTAATTTATTGTCGTTTTCATGAGAGGTCTTTTTCAGTTTTAGGCTGCCATCGTCGCCTAGAACTCCGACTTGTATTTTAATGTAATAGACATATAAACTTAAAGCCCAACTTAAACAGATTAATCAAATCTTCTACCTTCATGGAGCTGGCTCATTCAATCCATATGATGAGACAGCCCTTGATTATGGATGGGACTACCCAACGATTACGACAAACGGTTCGACAATTATTTGTGTGCTATACGAGGCATACGACAGAATCAACTTATGGCAGTTACAACGCTGTCGCACCACAATAACGCAGTACGTAAAGCTGTAAAGCTGGCATTTTGGATGCATCCACCAACCTAGAAATATATCACTTAATAATATTCAATGGATCGAATTGTTTAGTTATACCATTTGCTCATAACAATTCAAAGTATAAAAATACATGTATGTATTTGAATTGATTATTAACGTCAAGAGCCAAGACTTCCTTATGATGCGCATCCAATTTAACAGGAAAATCAACAAAAAAGTGCTGGAGAACGCCTACTAAAAATTCTTCGAATATAAGGCTAGAAATCGTGCCATCTCTACAATTCGATTGGATGTCACTCATTTAAAAGGATATATTGTTTATTAACTTTTTTAGTGAACCAAACAGCATTTATTTAAAGGACGTTAATAGTTAAAAATGAAAGTAATAATTCTGTGGCGTTGATTATAAAACTGAATTAATAAATGCTATTCATATGGCATTTGTTTCTTTTTTAAGCCACTCCAAGGTGAAAGGATCATCGGATAAAAGTGGGGAGAGCGTGTCCCAAACCAATTTATGGTAATCATTGAGCAGTTTGACTTCATTCTCGGTCAACAGTTCCTTGATAACCATTTTCGTCTGCTTTGGGCACATTGTAATGGTTTTGAACGTAAGAGCGCCACGATTGGAAAAATTATAGTTTAATTGTGCGGGCACAATTTGGACAATGTCCTCGATGCGTATGCCGAATTCGCCATCCAAATAGAAACCGGGTTCATTAGAAATAAACATATTTTGCTGTAGTCCAGGATCGTCGGGCATTGGTCGGAATCCAACGCCCATTGGACCCTCGTGGACGTTCAAGAAATGCCCAATGCCGTGTCCAGTGCCATGTCCGTAGTCCAAGCCGATGTCCCAGAGAGATTTTCTAGCCAGCACATCCAGAACTTGGCCCTTTGTCTTTGTAGGGAACACTGTTGATCCGAAAGTAAGCTGGCCCTTCAGTACACGTGTATAGGTCTCCTTTTGCAATTCGGTGGGTGTGCCAAAGTGAAAAGTTCTGGTCACATCAGTTGTGCCATCCAGATATTGAGCACCCGAATCGCATAGATAGACTTCCTGGTCGTTGATAGGTCGATTTGTCTCCTGTGCCGGATGATAGTGAATGACCGAGCCGTTGGGACCTGACGAGCTTATCGTTGTAAAGCTCAAACCCATGTAATTGTCCTTAGTCTGACGAAATCCTTCCAATTTGTCTGCACCAGAGATTTCATCGACTGCCTCACCCCGTTCTACAGCAGCTTCCAGCCAAGCGAAATACTGGCATAGTGCAACGCCATCTCGAATATGACTATTCACAAAACCCTCGATCTCTCTATCATTTTTAATCGCTTTGAATAAGGCAATTGGTGTGATATCTTGATGTCGCGCTGATTTCGGTACTAGACAATTCAGATACAGACTGCTCGTGGGCGATATCCATACCTTATCGTTTACATCACACGTAATTTGACGTACACCATCACCGATAGAGTCGTAGGGACAGATTGATATTTTGACCCCATTTTCCTGAAGATGATCTTCAAAGTTAACTGGAAGTTTTGACGAATCAATATACAAAACGATATATTCGTGTGTTACGATCATAAATGCAAAGAATACTGGATTATAGGCAATGTCCGAGCCGCGCATATTTAAGAACCATGCAACCTCATCCAGAGCACTGACGATTAAGGCATTCGTATTCTGTTGCTTCATTTGCTCTCGAGTCCTTTCCCATTTCTCGGCGATGGTTTCGCCGGCAAAATTCAAATTTAATGTTATCAAAGTGTTAGAGGGACACGGCGGATGATCGTCACCCCAAACCTGATCGACTAGGTTTTCTTCGATGCCCACCAAAGTGCAATCGGATGCATTTAAATCCTTCTCAATTGTTTTCGCTGCGCGAAATGAGAATAAGCGCGGATCAACCCCAACGGCGCTGCCTTTGGGCAAATTCTTTCCCAGCCATGTACCAATGGATGGCGTTGATGGCAGTCCATCCTTGACAAGTGTCCAGTTAGCATCCAGCTCATTCTCCGCCTGCTGATAATACCGAGCGTCTGTCCACAATAACGCATTGTCATTCGTTATAACCGCTGTGCCGGCTGACCCAGTGAATCCGGTTATAAATGCTCGTCTCTCATCGTGTGCACACAGATATTCGCTCTGGTGTGCATCATCCGATGGTACCACATAGGCGCTGATTCCAGTTCCTTCCGGCGTGGCAGCACTTTGCATCAGCTCCCGTAGCTTTGCCAATTTTTCGCTTGTTGCTTTCATTTTCGTATCTCCACTTGCACTGAGTACGCTCGCTGTTCGTACAGTCAAATATGTAGTCGTCAGATGAGCTATCGCTGTTGTAAATTGCCTAATCATAAGTTGTATTATCAAAGCTCTTTCTAACTTCGCAGTTGCGGTTACTTAGTAGTTTCTGCTTTTTCTTTTTCTCTCTCTCTCTCTCTCTTTCCAGCTGGCTCTTTTTCTTATTTAGTGTTGAACAATATCAACAAAAAATACAAATCTTATCGATAAATACTGCAGGCTGCTATTTATGAATAGATTTGCTTGTTATGTTATAACTGATTATATTTATTAGATAGATACTTGTATTACTCTTTTCATATTTTTACTATTCATAAACTATTATTATACATTATCACAATTATGATAATTTTAATTGCTTTATATTATTACATATTTTTAATCACCATAAAAATAATGTTTCTGCTTTAAAATTTTTTACATAATTATATGTATATTCAAATCCATTTGTAAAAAACTTCAAATCGGTTAGACCCATTGGGTTATTTTATTTAATTAAAACTAAAGGCTTTGAGCCTGTAGGCTCTCAGAGATTTAAGCTAGTTTAATACGATTAAGAGAAAGCGGGAAATTAATTGGTTTTCAAACTGTGCTGTATTAAAAAGTTCCGACAAGTAACCAGATTGACAAAGATCTGATAAGCGATACTGACGCTAATTCAATTCAAATCTGAGGGATACAAGGGCGCTTAGTATAAGCGGAATTTTATATTAACATTAGAAATGAGGCGAAACCATGTATGTGTATGCAATAAAAACACAAATAAATGGTACTTTTGTATTATTTAAAGTTTATTATGTAAATTATTTTATGCTTTTCTGTTCAATTAAGAAATTGAGTATAAAATATATTGTAGTATTTTAATAACCATAACCATTTCGACCGTCTCTGTATGCTGAATTGAATTTTTTAAAAATATTGTTAATAGTTTCAAATTTAAGTAAACTAGATTTTCCAGGACCTTGATAAAAGTCATACCCAGTCATTTTGGAGTAATCTATAGATTCTAATAAAGATTTGATAAATTCTGCTTTTGGCTTTGCATCTATCTCGTTGTTTAACATTTTTTTCTCATTTTTCACATTCGCCTCATTAAAATCTTCTGATTTGTTTTCCTTTTGAAGAGCATCCTTATTTGAGTCTTTATCCCTATCCTCCTTATTTGAGTCTTTATCCCTTTGACAATCCTCTGTCGCATTATTATTATTTAGACTTGTTTTATTGTTGGCATCATCTGGTTTTTCTTTTAAGTTAATGTAATCAAGAAACCCATTGATTTCCAGGTATTTTTCAATTGCTCGAAACTTTGTAATTTCCTGTTTATCCTTAGCTACGGTGGCCATATATTCTTTAAAAATATCAGAGTCTAGTAGAAAAACCCGGTCATTTATATTCTGAGCTGACTTCATGATTAACTGCTTAGTAGCTACTTTAGCAAGATTCTTTACGTCGAAGTTGTAAGCGAATTCAAACAAATCAATAAGTTCTTCAACTTTCATGGTATTAACACGCTCGATCAACAACTGCATACAATCGTTGCTTATTGAACGTACAAGCCATTGGTTACCGAATATGTATAGATCCATTAACGTTGCATTTTCATGTTCATTCAGTTTGACTAGGTTGTAAGAGTAAATATATTGACGAAAAATTTCAAAAGTCTCTGGCGATACATTGTCTAAGAATATGTCACCAGAAATTGATTCCTTGCACTCCGTCAACATCATGCGCTTAAAGACATCCGAGGCACATGCCAGAATTATCTTATGACACTCGAATACTTTGGATCCTATTATAATACGACAGTCAAAAAACTGTTTATCCATACAACTAAGAGCAGGTGCGAACCTTCAAAAAAAAAAAAAAAAAAAAAAAAATTGTTTAAGCTTCAGAAAAAACACATAGAATGCTTACCATTTATCCATGCTTACAGCTGCAATATTTTACGTCCAGAAGCTTTACAAATTCTGCAATATTCAGTAAAAATAACATACATATGTATATTAGCGATTGAATTACTCGAAGTAACCTTGACACATGGGGATACCCAATTTTAAAAGACACAGTGGGGAATACCCATAAAGAGTGCGTGCTTGAAATTACACATACGTACGTAAACGCATACATATGAACATATATTGACACATTAATTCATATATTCGTATATCATTGATAAATGATACATCCACTATCCATCCAAACACATAGGCATACATTTTTCGTATCTTTATATATAAACCCAATTAACTTACCTGAGAATTAACTTCAAATTACGTATGTATATACTCTGAATGCGTGTTAGATTCTGGCGCACCCAAATTTTCGGGCGAACTTCTGGATGCGATATCGATAGATTATTGTTTGTGAATGATCCATGTTCAAAGGCTTCCTGATGCTCAGCTGACAACTGTAAATCGATTTGCTGATGTATGTATGTATATGTACATAATAATGTGAACACCAAATGTGAATGCACTAATAACAGAGTATAAAAAGCAGACAAAAATGATTATGTAATTATAATACTAAATATATTCATTTAAGTTTTATCACTGACCACTGGTCAGTGGTTTTATTACAATAATAATAATGAGTACGTTTGATAATGATGGAAGCTTAAAATGTATTTTTATCGATACATAATCGATAACCTTTTATTCTCGGCATCTGGCCATTTGGTTGCTTGCTATGCGATTGACAAGTTCTATTCGGGACATTCGTAATTAAATTATTTACATTTACTTTTACTAACTATAAAATATCCCATAATGGTGGTTAAAGCTGTGTGCGTTATCAATGGCGATGCCAAGGGCACCGTTTTTTTCGAGCAGGAGGTAAGAATGTTTGTTTTTGTTTTAAAGAAAGACTGAAAATTACGAAGGTCAACTAACCGGCCGCACCGCGCCTTTCCTAACTAACACAACAATATGTTTAATATACATACATATATGTATGTACATATACTCGCAGCCGAATTCATACATACATGCATACATGTGCGTCTGTGCAAATGGGATCATACAAAATTGCTGCGAAGCTACTTGAATTTCAATTGCATGAAATTTGTGCAGTCATTTAACAAATGCGTTATTATATAAGCGCACTGCGCACATGTGTATGTACGGGATGCACAAGTATGTGGGAAGAGTTTTATTTTCCTATCTTAGCTATGTTGCTATAACAATATTGATATATTCAGACAGTTCATACGCATACACTCTATTTGAATTTTTAATTACATACATATGTATATTGCATGCTAATACTCGGTTTACATTTTACGTTATGGTATCACCTAACATACATATGTATGTATATGTATGTACTGTTGCATTTGGTATGATTGTACTGCGGGCTTACATATTCAATGTTAAGTTAAGCACTGTTAAGCCCTAAAATGCTTTATCGCCGTGATTAGGCACATTTTAGTGGTGCTTATCAGCTGGCTTTGAATCGCTATCATTGTTTCTACTTTGTATAACATTTCTCATCTTATTCTGATCTATGTTTAATAGGCGGACGGTTGCCCGGTGAAAGTTACAGGAGAAGTTACTGGCTTGGCGAAGGGTCAGCATGGCTTCCATGTGCACGAGTTTGGCGACAACACGAACGGTTGCATGTCCTCTGGACCGCATTTCAATCCGTACCAGAAGGAACATGGCGCTCCGACTGACGAGAATCGTCATTTAGGTGACCTGGGCAATATAGTAGCCACCGGCGATGGACCCACCCCAGTTGACATATGCGATTGCAAAATCACGTTGTTTGGAGCCAATAGCATTATAGGACGCACTGTTGTCGTACATGCTGATGCCGATGACTTAGGCAAAGGAGGTCATGAGCTGAGCAAGACAACTGGCAACGCTGGGGCTCGCATCGGTTGCGGCGTAATTGGAATTGCGAAAATCTAAAAAATATAAAACATCTGAATTCAATACTTATATTAATAATATATATATATACACATGCTTATATGAAATTCGGTCTTAGGAATGGAACAAAATATTGATTTCAATTGTCTATTGGGTACATACGGGCGTGAAATGAGATTTTCTTTAATGTGGTAGTTTCTAAATATCAAATTTGTTGATAATAAATGGTGTTATAGATCAAATTTCTTTATTTTTCTTGGTCATCTGTAACTGTTTGTTAGAACCGAATCGAATCAAGATCAACAGGTATTAAGCAAATATTTGAGAACTGCAAAAAGTTTACGCACTAGTATGAACATTTTATTGGTTTAAAATTTGTCGTAAACAATATATAGATTAGTAATATTTACAATACATGACATATTTCAATTAGTTTGATCTATGACAAGACTATAAAACAATATCAACGAGTTTAGAAAAAGAGATGATTACTAGATTAGCAAATAGTTTGTTTTGGTGGTACAGAAAATTTTGTTTAGTGCGTCCATTTAGGTCTTGTTGAAATATGATTGATAGACAATACCCAACGATGAAGTTGCAAAGAGCGTGAAGTAGCTCCACCATGTGGCAAAGCCCAGAAAACCTTTGTACACTTCTGTGGAGAACACCTAAAACAGTTTAAATATCTTGGGTAAAAATTAACTAAAATATAGAGTGAAAGTTTTTACATTTTTCAAACTAGCGAATGAAGCCTGTAATGACTGCGCAGATTCCATAATATTAAATTCGGTTTCAACATTCTTCGCAGCAGGAATCGGTGCCAATTCCGCATCAGCGGCACATTCGTGCTGCAAGACAACCGATTCCTTGAAGATTCCCGTCCAGCTAAAGCCGCCAAGGCTCTTGTACATTAGCGTCAAATAGAGGCACAGAATTAAAGGCGCAGCAAACTGCAGCGTCACAACACACAGATAGTAGAATATTGATGATATCTATGTAAAAAGCAGCGAATTGTTAGTGAAATCTGAATTGAGTGGCAAGTAATCAGTTAAAAGCCTGCCTTCTTTTGAAACTCGACATTGGTGATGCGTCCAGCCTCCTTACGAAGATCGACAATTTTGTCATAGGCCAAGTTGAGATACGATTGCAAATAGATGGGCATCAGTGCAAAGCGCATAACAACCACAAATATGACCAGCAGGAGGCGCAACGTTTCGAAAACATGAGGCTTGAGTCTAGAAAACACAAAATCTATAATACAATATTTGACAATCAATTACAAACGGCTCTTTCACTTACAGTGGATGTTGCATGCCTTCGAAGACACGCACTGTCAGGTAGTCTCGACTGATGGGTCTTATCCACAATATGACTAGTATGAAGGGCAATACAAAGCTCACGTTAAGTGTAATTTGTAGAAGGCGATTGCCTCTACAATATTTTAAGGAATCCCAATGCATTTTGGCCATTCGCAAGCCCGGAAATGTGAACAGGGAGCCCAGAATGCCGCAGCTCAAGGCGACAAAGAACTTAACAACAATCTTCGAGGCTGGTCCACTGTAACGACAAATAGATTTGTGTATATAAATAACGTAATATGTATATATGAAATTTAACTCACGATGACGGCAGACCCTGCTCGGTGAGGAACTTTGATGCGCTGGCATTGAAACTTGTATATGCATCCTCTAGACCTGTTTCTAGGATACGTTCATCAATGATGAGAACGATCATGGCAATTAGTAAGTAGACCAGACAGGCGACTATCACCATGGAGCGCTCCCCTATGGATTCCTCACTTTGGAAGTACATCACAGTGAGGGAGGAAAGTAGTTTGATGGCAAAAAATATGACCAAGAGACACCAAACCATGCTTAGATTGATCTCCTGCTTGAGTGGATAGAAGTAGTGGAAGAGCTCTGAGATGACATACACAATGCCAGCATATACGCTGAAGTCCAACAGCCATTGGTATTCGGTGAAGTAGCGCAAATGAATGACATCACGTTCCACAACTGGCAAGGTCTCTAGCTCGATCTCGATGCTGCGTGGTATATGAAACTGCTGAGAGGAGTTGCCGTTGCTCAGTCCATTCTGATGCTTATGTTTACCCTTGCCACCACGTTCTTTCGGCACGCCAGCCTTGGTGCGCAGTTCATCGTCCGTAGGATGTAGATAACGGAATAGCCCGGTCCGGCAGAGTATCCACTTGGCAAAGGAATAGTGGGGGCTCAGCTTCTGAATAACGCTGACCATAATCAACGTTATAACTAATTGGGCACCAAGTATGGCCTAAAATTACATTTTTATTTCATTAGAATTCACAACGACCAACATTTCTGTCATCTATAACTATTTTTGGGTCAATTCTATTTTTGGTCAATTATTATGCACATTCCATTTTTCCGGGCATTCCGAACGGACATTTGCGATTTTTGCTTACCATGATTCTGTGTTACGATGTGTTAAATTGTGTGCAGGTTGGGTCATGAAGCAATGTGTGTTAATTGATGTTTTAATTAATTCATGTTTCCTAATTAAAAGAAGTAAATGAGAATCTGCATTAGTTGTAAAGAAACACTCGGAACTATTTAGGTCGAACACTCACATCAAATGAACTTATTGCCATTATAGCTAATTCTTTGAGTTAGAACTGCTTGCTTTCACGGAACAAGTATTATTAACAGCAACTGCTGAGGCTATCGGTATTCGTCAAATAAGTATCGATATACCCACGATTGAGTATGCGTGCGTCTTTTCACAGTGCGATATACCAATATTGCGTGGGCAGCCCTGGCTTATGCACGTTTTTAAATGCCGGCACAACACAAAAGTGGAGATTAAAAGAAAAAAATAATGTTTATGAATGCAAATCTGTTCGAGCCGGGCAAATCAAAGTCCGAGCGCAGCTTTATACAGAGTGCAGTAAAGCAGAATACACGCTTTGATGGCCGCAAATCAAACGAATTCCGAGATGTGAAATTAACCTTCGGCTCGGATTGGGGCACAGTGGCGGTATCCATGGGTGATACAAAGGTACTGGCACAAGTCAGCTGTGACATTGGAGCACCGTCCAGTGCGCGAGCCAACGAGGGTACCCTGTATCTGAACGTGGACATCAAGGGTGTGGCGTTTCTCGATGAAATTCAGTCGACCCACGATCAACGCTTCTTAACACTTAACTCTTTGCTGGAGCGCACATTTAGGAGCTCTCGTTGCCTAGATCTTGAGTCCCTGTGCATCGCTGTCGAACAGCATGTATGGTGTGTGCGAGTTGACATTAATGTGCTGAACCATGATGGGAATTTATATGGTGTGTAAAAGTGTACGAGAGGATATCAATTTTACCAAAAGGTTTTTTTTTACAGATGCAAGTACGATTGCTGCGCTTGCAGCACTAATGCACTTCCGTCGACCGGAGGTCTCTTATGCTGAAGAGAAAATACACACGTTTAGCGAAAGGGAGCGCGAATTGATGCCTCTGTTGTTTCTCCACTATCCTGTAAGCGTAACATATTGTCTGTACAAGAGTAGTTCGAATCCATTGGTCGACCCAACTCTGTTGGAAGAGAATGCCGCAGATTCGATAATTGTATTGAGCTTTAACTCGTACCAAGAGCTATGTACACTCAATGCTGGCGGCACTGCCCCGACGAACGTACGCACCATCATGAAATGTGCACGCAGCGCAGCGAATCGTTCGAAAGCCCTGGTCCAATTTATACGCAAGGCATTGGAGTTAGATGCGGAGCGTCGATTACAGCCCAATCGAGTGTTCGGCTTGGCAGATCTCTTAAGCGATAATGCGCCCCTGTTGAGTTTTAAGCATTTAATGGCGGAGAACGTGCGGCAGGAGGTTGCGCAGAAGAAGATTAGTGACGAGCCCATTCCGTCAACGGAAACAGTTGCTGATGAACAGTTGCCTGCGGACACAAAAATAGAGGGTAAGAGTATTAGAGAGTAATGGTGAAGACGTCATTAAAATTATGTATTTACTTATGTCAGAAGCTCCTATGGATGAAACCACCTGGCTGTCGGTGGAGGAAAGCACGTGGATAGAACAACAAATGAAAAATGTGCAGCAAAGCTTGGCAGTGTCAGCGCAGGAGGCAGGCAAAACAAGCAAGTCTAAGCCTAATCGGAGTAAAAATAAGGCCAGCAAGAAGCCATCAATAAGGAATCAAGGTAAATGGAGTTTGTATTATATGATCAATTAGCAGACATTTAAAGCAAATATATTTGTAACTTACAGATCAAAGCGATTCGGAGGAGGAAGTTACACAAATCCTCTAAGAAACGAGTCTTGCTCATCACCTAAATACAATCTATATGTTATCTTTTTACAAATATATATGTGTACATAACATGTATGTAGTTTTTAAGTGAAATATATGCTTAGAGCGAAATTTGGTATAAGTATAACTCTAAAGAATGAATTATATATATATATAACAACTGTAATAATATCCAATAGCGAAAAAGTTAAAGTTGTTGAAGGTCCGTGTGCTGACATTGGCAATGTATGAAGCATTCTGCATACATTTTATAGTGGGCTGGGATACATTCAATTTTTTTACTTAAACATAGTGCTCGTAAAAACAATATTCATTTCATTGCCATGCAGCTATGCAAATTAAACAAAAATAGTTTACAACATTGAATTATGTATTTATAGCTGGTTTTCAACTGTTGACAGTTAGTGTTTGACTGTTAGTGGTCACTTGATAGTTTATTAATATTATAAAACAATCTTTTATTTACAGCCTCTAAGCATCACACTTACTATATTGTGACTACTATTGAGTTTTTCTTTTTTTTAAATCTGATGGGATTATTAAAAAATTTCTGCAACTTTTCCAATAATCATAATCTAAAATTACGTATGTATATGTCATAATAACCAGCCTACAAGTATGCAATGTTCTTCTTTTTTCAAATTCATTTATTTTTTTGACTTTAAATGCTTGGAAGTCAAGCACTCCTTTCATAGATATATTCAAAATTTGCTAACATTAAATTAAATTTCTTGTGTAAAAAAAAAACAAAAATATGAAAAAATCAAATCAATGCCTTGTACCCAAGATCCTCGATATGGGCCAATGGGATTCAAATAAAATTAAACACTACAGTTCGCTGCCGCGTATTCAGAAACAGTTGCGCAGAGGAAACTGGGCGTACATACAGGAACATCCCGAGGTATAAGTAGATGAGCCATTTCTGTAATTTAATACAAATAATAGAAATTAAATGTTATTCTCAGATACGTGCCATTATACGTGTGATTTTACAACATGTAATCAACGAAAATCCCGACAATGTCCGAGAGTGTGTAGGTGAATTTTTCCACTGTCGTCGTACACGATTGCTGGTGCCCATGGTGAGTTGAGCTCTGATGAAATATTTGGCCCACCCTAAATAAAAATAAAATTCCACCTAGATAAACACGCAATTAAAGTACGTTAAGGAGCAGCTCAAACGCGGACGTTGGAGCAAATTTGATGCGGAAACATTGTTCATGGAGAGTCCATCCACACATTCGCTACTGTCCACAGCGTCCACAGATTTCAACGTTCATCCCGTGCTCACCTACGCACTGGTGTTCAAGAAACCCGATGAGTGCGGCATAGACAAGCCTCCTTACTAACTACTAATCCAAGATTTACTGGACAATAATATGATATGCTTTTTGTTGCAGTTCTGAAATAAAATTAATTGATAAAAGCCTATTAGATAATGATTCTTTGTTTGAATAGTGCTACCCTCAGAAATTAACAATTATAGATTCCCTTTTATGTTAACATTCCATATACATATGTATGTTAACTTGTTTGAGTCCTTTGGAATCTGCCCAGCACTTTAATTAAACATTTCTATTTGCATGCATAAATGTTAAATTAGTACATTCCTTGCTTTGCTCTTGTTAATCTTGGCTTTGTTGATTTACTGTATGTGTAGAGTCAATGTTTTGTTTAACATTGGCATGTTGTGTGTATGTTAAGCAACATTGACTGCACAATTGAGTGAACATTTGTTGCGATCAGTTTATATGTGGCAGCTGTGGCGGTTGCATCTTTGAAAATCGTGTGAAATTCGCCTATTTCGTATTGTTTCGAATGGTTCAACGAGTGTATTTGATTCTCATTCTGGCAACGTGATTATAAACAGCAGACGCAGTGGAGCTGCAAAAAGAGAAAACACTCGAATTCCTGCGGATTTTGACATTCGTTCTTTTGTTTTTAATCATATCCCTTTATCTATATCGTTTTGCATTTTAAGCCAACAACTTTTCTAGAGTTTGTTGTTCCTATATTTTTTTGGGTAAGTTTCTAAGCGATTTTTCGATTGTGTAATATATTACCTTGATTTAAATATCATTTTCAATTTTCTTTACGCTCTCCTTTCTCTCTCACTCTCGCTCTCTGGCTGGGCGACCTTGACGACGCGTCGTCTACTTTGTGGGTTCTGTGGTCTAATTAAAGACACAGCAAATATGCCCAAATTACCAGCAGTTGGCATTGATCTTGGTACAACATATTCGTGTGTCGGGGTCTTTCAGCATGGCAAAGTGGAGATCATTGCCAACGATCAGGGCAATAGGACCACGCCCAGCTACGTCGCCTTTACGGAGTCGGAGCGTCTCATTGGCGATGCGGCCAAAAACCAGGTGGCCATGAATCCAAATAACACAATCTTTGGTAAGTCCCACTTACTACTAATCACTTGATGACCTAAATCATGAATGAAAAACACGCGCAAGCTAAGGCTCTTATTTTTGTTGTTGAGGATTTTATTTTGAGACTTGTACATACATAATACATATATACACATATGTTATATATGTGTATATATATCTAGTGCATGGCTAGTTCTTGGCTGCTCTTGCATACAGCCAGCTAAAAGTATTTGCCCAAAATGTATTTTTGCACTTTTCGCTCGACCTCCTCCGCGTCGTGCCCTCCCTTTCATTTATCTAATGAGTCGCATTCACTTGGTGTGTCAGTTCGCTCGTTGCATGCCACCGCCCGCTGCCAAAATGTTTATTAGCATAATCTGTGTCAGTGCATTTCATGGTTCCACCTCAACTGCGAGCCAATACAAAAATGCTTACAAATAGATTATTTACATGACAATATTTACAAATTGACTTTGCTCTGGCTGCATATTAGCTCTTAACCAGGCCAACATATGCTTTAAGAACTCAAGAGAGCAATAAATGTTTTCTCTATTGATTTACTTGGGCTTTTAGGTACACTTTTTCCTCCTTATTGGCTGGAAGTAGACTGTCATGGAAGTAAAATGAAATATCTTAGGAATTACATTCTTCCAAATAAAATTGCTTTTCAAATATCCATTCTCTTTTCTTAAAGCTATGTATATTACTTTATTTATATTTTGCATTTCCTACTCTCATTGGATTTCTATACTCTCAGATGATGAGAACTATAAAGTCTGGCATCCTTATGCTTCGTAAGAACACGAATGAATGTAATTATTCACAATCTTGATTCTCATTGCTTTTACCCAAACTCTCTCTCCCTCTTTCTTTCTCTCGCTTTCCCTATTGTGTTAAGTATTCTTTAGTTTGAATTAAATTTCGTTGCGTTTGCAGCTCTATAAAAAAGTCAAAAATCGTTTTCTTTGTGAGCTCTCTCCCACTAGATTTTGTGCGGGTCTAATGCCACATGTTTTCTTTTTTTGTACTTTCATTTCAGTCTCAGAGTCCACATAAATCTGCCTTGCCCCGCAAACCCGCCTAGCCTAAGCCTAGACTTGCGCCTAGTTACGATATACAATACGCTTAGTACAATTTGTAAAAAATAAAAACAAGCCCCCTCCTCAGATACTCTGTTCGATAGTTAATAAAGATAAATAAACGAAAAGCCCCAAGATTGAGACGTGTGTCCACTTATTACTCTGCCTGGGACTCTCTTACAGATGCCAAGCGGCTGATTGGACGCAAATTCGACGACCCAACGGTGCAGAGCGACATGAAGCATTGGCCCTTCGAGGTCGTCTCGGACAATGGCAGGCCCCGCATCCGAGTCGAGTACAAGGGAGAGAAGAAGAGCTTCTATCCGGAGGAGGTGTCCTCCATGGTGCTAACAAAGATGAGAGAGACCGCCGAGGCGTACCTGGGTGGCACGCTTACCGATGCCGTGGTCACTGTGCCCGCCTACTTCAATGATTCGCAGAGGCAGGCCACCAAGGATGCGGGCGTCATAGCCGGTCTCAATGTGCTGCGCATCATCAATGAGCCAACGGCGGCGGCCATTGCCTACGGCCTGGACAAACAAGGCGGCAGTGAACGGAATGTGCTGATCTTTGATCTGGGCGGCGGCACCTTCGATGTTTCCGTGCTGACCATCGAGGATGGCATCTTTGAGGTGAAGGCCACGGCAGGCGACACCCATTTGGGCGGCGAGGACATCGACAACCGCATGGTCAATCATTTCATGCAGGAGTTTCAGCGCAAGCACAAGCGAGATCTGAGCCAGAATAAGCGCGCTCTGCGACGCCTGCGTACGGCTTGTGAGCGGGCCAAGCGCACGCTTTCCTCCTCCACGCAGGCCAACATCGAAATCGACTCGCTCTTCGAGGGCATTGACTTCTACACGTCGTTGACGCGTGCACGATTTGAGGAGCTGAACGGAGATCTGTTCAGGAGCACCATGGAACCGGTGGCCAAGGCGCTGCGGGATGCCAAAATGGACAAGGGTCAGATACATGACATTGTCCTGGTGGGTGGCTCCACTCGGATACCCAAGGTGCAGCGCCTGCTTCAGGACTTCTTCAATGGCAAAGAGCTGAACAAGTCTATCAATCCGGACGAGGCTGTGGCCTATGGCGCTGCCGTTCAAGCGGCCATACTGCACGGCGACACATCCGCCGCTGTGCAAGATCTGCTGCTGCTCGACGTGACTCCACTCTCGCTGGGCATCGAGACGGCGGGTGGGGTGATGACACCGCTGATCAAGCGCAACTCCACCATACCCACCAAGCAGACGCAGACGTTCACCACCTACGCGGACAATCAGCCCGGCGTCCTGATACAGGTGTACGAGGGCGAACGCGCCATGACCAAGGACAATAATATTCTCGGCAAGTTCGAGCTGTCGTCCATACCGCCTGCACCGCGTGGCGTGCCCCAAATCGAGGTGACCTTCGACATCGATGCCAATGGCATACTCAATGTGAGTGCAGCCGAAAAGTCCACGGGCAAGGCGAATCGCATAACCATTACTAATGATAAGGGTCGACTGTCCAAGGAGGATATCGAGCGTATGGTCAATGAGGCGGAATCGTATCGCCAGGCGGACGATGAGCAGCGCCAGCGCATTGAGGCCAAGAACCAGCTGGAGTCCTACTGCTTCAACATCCGATCCACGCTGGATGATGAGCAACTGCGCAGCCGCATTAGCGATACGGATCGCCAGACGATTGTCCAGAAGTGCGATGAGACCATCAGCTGGCTGGATGCCAACCAGCTGGCCGAGAGGCAAGAGTTCGAGCACAAGCAACAGGAGCTGGAGCGCATCTGCAATCCCATTATGACCAGGCTCTATCAGAGCGCGGGCATGCAGCCGCCTCCGGCTCAAGCCTCCGGCGGCGGTGGGAGTGGCGCCGGCGGACTAGGCGGCGGACCAACCATCGAAGAAGTCGATTAAGCTATCCCTTAGCATACCTTCAAGCGCCTCTCAGCTTGTTGCAATCTGTTTGTTAGCCCTAGCTAAATTATAGAGTATTTCAATAAATTTTCCATGCGCAATGAAATGAATTTTTAATTAAATTAAAATTGGTGGAAATCAAATAAATTAATAAGTCAAAATACGGGAAATTCTCTTCAAATTAAAGAATAGGTCTACACCCATTGAAGGGAGGAAAATCGTCAGAGTATATTAATAATGTAAACGTGGCAAATGTTTTAGTTATCTAAATACACTTACAATTTTGAGAGAGTATTTAAAAAAAGCAAATAAATTTTTTAAATAGACTTTATTTTCAAACTTATTTACTATTTCACAATATTACGGAGTCTGTCTGCCGTTTCAAGTACTATATGAATGCTAGGGTATTTCAAGCTGTTTCGATAACAGCCATTACGAAATTTAGGCAAAGGAATGACGAAATGAAACGCAAAGCAATGGAAATGAAACTGAAGTCAAGTAATCACATATTCTAAGTAAAAGAATAAAAAATCAAATATATAATGGAATGTTTGAGTATCATATAAATAGGTATATGTGAGTGTACGGGAATTGTGTATTCCTCAACTGTTTGTAATTGCACAATTTGGATATGTAACAACTTCCTAGAGTAGTTTGGGAGATATGTAACAATAGACAATAGCAAACATAAATACATATCGAGTATATATAGTATATATGTATATTTATAGCAGAGCTATCAACATAGGGACTACATGTAAAATATTTCAACGTTGGCAAAGTCAAAGGAAATGTTTTGAACAACCTTTCAGGCAAATACTACATATCAGTTAATATATGGTATAATTATAGTATTTGGATAGTATTTGGTATATAGTACATACGTTTCGGTTATTGTATTCAGTTTGAAACTCCTCTGTGGAAAATGCATAAATTATACAGATGTATTCGCAACTGGCTCAAGGTATATCAGATGTATTCATATTTGGGTGCCATAGGCTTATCATTAACACTAATATTTGTCTCTATAACTGACGACTTCACTAGATAATACAGATACGATTTGTACAACAAACACTGCAAAAGCTTTCAAATCAAATATACTATAAATATATGTATATTCCTATAGCTAGAGAGCCATTCAATTCATTCAGTTAACACATACACATACACATACATATATATATATATATTATATATGTGATATATACATTACATTTAACTATATGCAATTTATATAAACATAAAATCAACAAGGGATTAGTACAATTTTGTATAGACTTGCTTTTACCTAGACGCTTTGTGGGTCAACCAATGCTATTCATAAATCACCTATTTAATACTCTATGTATAATTAGATAAGTAGTGTTATTATATCTTTGTTCTTTTTCTTTTCAGTTGGTATATCATATAATACCATAATGTATAAATTGTATAAACCGATTTATAAATTCATTTGCGTATATTTAATCAGTACTAACTTTAGGGTATGCACGCCTAAACTCACTATTAACAATTAACTTTACACTATTCGCTTTTATATCGTATTGCTTACAATATATAACTTTTATCAAGTGTACATGTGGGTGTATATATATATATATATATAGAGAGAAAATATTCAAAATTATAGCAATATTAATTGCTATAATAAATCTTAAATTTATACACAAAAGTTTTTCAAATTATTCAATACCTTTTTACAAAAGAAAAGAAAATAATAATTGTAATTAAAAAATATATATGTATATTCGTAATGAACGAAACATATGTTCAGAATAACAATGGCAATTTCGTTTTTCATGTTTGTATTTCTGTCTATGAAATACAACAACAAAATGCGCATATAGAACACCGTATATACGATACACTAGGCACGCATTCCAATGGAGGACTGCGCCTATTGAATGCTCTATAGGTCAGCTGTTTCCCGAGAAAATAGACGCTTACTATGTTACACATAATCTAATTGGCTATAACTAAACACGTTTGACGTTTAATTCAGTGAACTAACATTTAAGCATTGAACTTAACTTAGATTACAATGTTAAGGGGGTTTCACTTAAGAGCTAGTACGATCGCTACAAGATCATATTTTTAGAGCGCTTCAGTCGATGAGCTGCAGGGGCCGTTATAGCCGTTTATGCGGCCGGAACTGGAGCCAGAAACGGAACCGGAACCGGATCCGGAACCGGAACGGATGCCTGTGCCAGGGCCTGTTGTTGTTGCTGCTGCGGCTGCCGGCTGCACCAGCTGCTTGTAGGTGCTCTCCAGCTTGGGTGGATACTGGAGAAATGCGTGCGGTTAAGGATATGAACTATATTGGAAGGTCAGTCTAACATACCTCCTGGTTCTCATCTAGCGATGGCAGCAGCTCGTCCAGCGAGTTGGGCGTCAGCGGACTGGGCGTGGCCATTGTAACACGACTGAGCGCTCCATGCTGCAGCAGCGCCTCTCCAATTATAATCTGCGGCTTGTTTTGTGTGAGATGCTGCTGCTGCTGGAGTCGGGCCAGGCGCAGTTTCATCTCCTGTCTGATCTCCTTCTGTTGCACCTCCTTCTCGAAACGCATCATGCTGTAGCTGCGCACCGAGGAGCTTGTGCTATGCACAGACGCTAGACTTGGTCTTCGAGAACCTGCAAACGGATATAAGTTTAAGATGTATCAAAACAATTTGATCCCTCGATACTCTGTAGTTCTCTAAGCAGCTTAATTATTATCGAAGCAGAGGCAGAAGCAGACAGAGAGACAAATAGAGAGATAGTCAGCAAGAGAGAGACAGATAGAGAGAGGCAGACAGCGTAAAGAGAGACAGAGACAGATAGAGAGAGAGAGAGAGTGAGAGAGGCAAGGCTTCTAACATGTCAACAAGCTCTAGAAAGGTAGAAAATATCTATATATCTTTAAAGCGTTGCTTGTGCATCAATTAAGCAGGCAATCGAAACGTTAATATACTGAAAGTCTGCTGACTCTGATGAAGACAAATCTGATATTTAAAATTCCATTAAAATTTTTCTGAAATTCAAAGTTAAGTTACAAATTTAGTAATTTAGTTTGCAACAGAAGCTATGATGGAATCAAAGAACCTGTGGATGTACATATTTCAATTACGACAACAGCGAACAGAACACAGCCTAAGCCTAAGCATTACAGTGGTGGCAAAACAGTATACCCTGCGCATTCATAGTTTGTTATATGTTAGATATTCAGGCAAAGTTGTATGTTAAAGCTCGAATAAATGCTAGAAATGAATTAAGTATGTGAATAAGAGAAACTTTTGCTTTTTCTTTGGAACAAAATGCATTCAGTCTCATTCAGTTGGAAGCGACATAGACAGATTAGATTAGATTATCGAATAACAAATAAGATAAAACTTGGGATCGGTTGGTGTGCAGTTAATCGATGGAGTGTTTCGCACAGTTCACTCACAGGATGCATGCAATTTGGAATATTAAGTGTAAAAAAATATATATATATATATATGTATATGTGTTCGTGTGTGTCTGTGTGTGTGTGTATGTTTGTGTGTGCGTGTAGATATCATAGTAATTTGCGTTATTTTGTTTTAAAGAATTAGATAATGGTGTTATAAAAATTTTTGGAAACAGGAACATAGTCACCGCCATATTGCTTCGATATCATATTGTCAAGCTGCAGTTGTATATGGAGTACACATATATATCATTTGCGTTATTATTCAAGTTAGCTTCTGAAATATTTTCAATATTGTTTACAACTTCCGCCGGCTCAACTGCATTTTGTTTAATTTCATATTGTTTTCATTTTTAATTTGTAGATTTTTGTACTTGTATTTAGATATTTATTAACTAAACAAACTATCAAATGTCGGAGCTGGAATATATAGTTTGATTCGTTGTTGTCTTTGCTCAAAGCGCTTCTCTACAGTTGTGTGTGTTTCATGTGTCTTTGTATGTTGTATTTATTATTTTATTTAATTTTTAATTTTTTGTAACTTAAGCGAAAAGAAACCAAACAATCAACTTTGAAATTTGAAACAGAGATTTGGAAGCACATTTAACATCGATCATTTAGAACATAAGACCAAAAGTTAGAATTTTCGACGGGTTTTGTTTAACTATTTAAGGAATTACTGCAAGTAGATGATTTGAAATGAGCCAATGTACACATCAAATGAAGCCAATGATAGAATTAAGCTGAGGTCAATGTGGAAAGCAACTGTTCTTATAAGAGATATAATCTGAGCTACAATAATAATACAATTCATATAAACGAAATCAAAGAAGTCTCGAAAATTATATCTATGGCTCTGCTCGCACGTTCAGTATACGTAAATATAAATAATTTTATTGCCTAGCTAAAATCTCTTTTTCGTCAATGGCCTTCATTCAATCATAATTTATATATATTTGTTAATATATATATTGAGCATTGAAATGAATATACTTTAAAGTAAAAATACAAATTAAAAAATAAATAATAACAAAGCTTAAATTATCATATTACAGATATTTAAAAATATACATAAAATTAATTTCAAGCCATACAAATTAAATAATAAGAAAAAAATGTTATGATAATCAATTTATATATAAACAATGGGATCAGGCTTTTAATGATTTCAATCTTAATTTGTTTGGTCTTTTTTTTCTAATTTTATTTTAATATAGCATATTAAACAATAAATAAGAATTCCGTCGATTTAAAGGGTATGCAAAATTAAAAAAAAAAAACTTTAATTAAAACTCAATATAATGCTTAAAAAGGCCTTAGCTCTAGCCCAAAATCGAAACGACAGTTGAAGTTGAGGCAGTCCACATTGACCTTAACTGAGAGTACGGGTTTGGATGTGATAAAGATTTTGGTACACAATGTATATGCAAGGAGAGCAGGAATTCAAAACACCAATAGAAGAAGAAGAAGAGAACTTATAATGAGAACACATAGTTGCTAGGCGGGATCGAGTTATTGATGGAGGCTACAAATTGGCCAATTGTGATTGTTCGTGATTAACATTGTTGATGATGTTGATGTTGATGATTGACGCTGAATGACTGCTGACTGATGAGTTGATTTACCGCAAATCTGGGCGTTTCACTCGCCGGCGTGGGCAGGGCGCCAATTTGCAAATGATGCAGCTCGGCACCGCCGCCAATGCCGCTGCCATAGTCGCCGTAGCCGCCATAGCCGCTAACGCCAGCGCGACTGCCGACACCACTGGCACCTAGTGCATCTATGCTATTGAACCCATCATCATTATTATCATCGTCATCATCATAATTATGAATGCCATTCAAGCCCAAGAGGGTCCTAAATCTATCCTGATTCTTTGTCTTCGCCGGCGACAGCTCAAAGCTGAGCAGGTGCCGTTGATGATTCAATTGCTTCTGCAGCTGGCGGTTCATTGAGAGCGTGCTCTCGCAACTGCGACAGCCGCCAGCGCTGCTACCACCACCAGCCCCGCCCGAGCCGGAGCCGTTGCAGCCGTTGTTCTCGTCAAGATTGTCGCGCGAATGCTGGCTGCAGCCGGCGCCAGATGTGTGACGCGACGAGGCGCGTGAATTTTGTTTGGACACGGCCGTAATGTGACACGATATGAGCAATATGGCGGCCGATCTAGCCGCACCTGTACGAGACGTCGACACAAGTATGCCCTTCGAGTTGCCACCATGTCCGCCGCTGCCGCTGCCGCCGCCGCCGCCACCACCGCCGCTGCTATTACCGACGCCGCCGCCAACGGCGCCAGTCAAACCGCCGGACGAGGCGCGACGATTGCCAAATGACCCTATCGAACCCGTCGAGCGGATGCTGGAACGCGACGATGGACGTGCCGAGTGCACAGTCAGCGGTATGCCTGAAGGAGCACAAAGATAAGATCAAGATCAGTTAAATATTTCCATCCACAATGCTTAAGCCCCCTCCGCTCACTCACCTGTATCGCTAGAGTAGAGTATGGGCGGCGGAATATTCGCATCACCAAAGTTCCGATGCCTCGGATACTTGGTCTTGCTAAACAAATGCAATACCATGCAAATGAGACCCGCCAGCACCGCAATGCCCGAGGATACGCCCAGCAGCGTGGGCAAATCCGAACTCAGCTCGCTCAGGTCTGTCCAAGAAGAGATAAACGATTTATAAGGCCAGCTAAGAGTGAGGCAGTGAGTGTCCTCTCACCTGGTGTGCAAAAGACCCGCCTTGTTGGCTTCGTATAGCTGACCGAGTGAAAGCCACTGGCGCACTGGCACATCGCATTGTGTCGTACCTGAACACAGAGGGAGTTCTCATCGTTGTAGATGCAGGTCTCGTCGTAGAAACACTGATCGCCCAGTTTCTTAGCTAGACAAATAAAACACAAGTCAAAATATAGAGCTCCAAACTTACATAGATGACATTATGGTAATCTCTCACGTTTGGCACAGCCCTTTATCGGTCCCAGCTGCACGGGATAGTTGCGCTCACAGCTGCACAACTGCGTCTCCTTATCGCAGGTGACATGCACCAGTTTTGCATCACACTTTAACTCATTACATGGCGCTCCAATGTATTTACCTTTGGCTGAAAATGATTGTTGTCATTGCTATTATCATTAGTTTTGACATTGCCGCTTTGTCATTGTCATTGTCATTGTCATTGTCATTGTCATTGTCATTGTCATTGTCA